AGTGGAGTATCTACGCACCCGCCACACACCCACCAGGTGTTCGACCTCAGGCTGCAAAACCAAAGGCTCGCTCTCCGGCTGCTCTCTGCTGGCGAGGCCACATCCTGGACCGTATGCCTCTCGATTGACATCCGCAATGGCGCAGCACACCACAGAGGCAGAGGAGAGCGGAGCATAGCCGTCCACCTGGAGGAGGAACTGGCCTGCGTCTGGCTCTCACTAGGACTATCCGGTTGCAGGGGGAGTCCACAAGAATGTTGTCATGGCACACATGGCCTGTGCTTGCTGCCTTTCTGCTTCCTGTCAAATGTTTATGCTTTGCTACCTGTGTTCCTGTCAGATGCTTACGGAATGGACCTTTGCAAGGCCTTTTTGAGCCTCACCACAGCACACAATCCTGGAACTCATGTTTGTATTGTATCTCATAGCGCATCTCATTAACATGTGTCCGCCGAACAAGGAAGAACTCAAGAATCTGCAAGGATTTCCACCCTGTCATGAATTGTCGGAGGTAGTACCCCAGGTATATTCTAGCGTTTCATATTTCTCATGGGCTGCTTGGTTTTCTACGTATGAAGGCGATGACTCATTTTTGAAGTATGCTCAACTAGTTATGGCTGCACTTGTTAAAACCATCACAAATATGCTTGACAATATACACTATTGAGGAATCTAGAAAAGTGAAAAGCTAACTAAACGATGCTCTTGTCGTTAACTCGTTATACATCACGATTATGTTCTCCCAACTTGCAGGCTCGAGAAACGTATCCCGTGCATATAGTGGGTTACTTTTTCCAAAGGATTCTTCATCATCCATACAGGAAAAGTGATATTGCAGTCTGCACATAACAGAATGATTCTTCTTCACCTTTAGCCTAACGTAACAGGGCACAACTAATCATTCCTTTTAATGACACTCTCTAGCCTTGATGTCCTAGATTTTAATTCCCGTAATTTTGTCTACGCTGGGTGCCATATTTTCGTTAGGAATGATTGACTAATTGCGCTTGCATTTGACCTTGTGGCAAATAGTAGGTACTAAGTCGCAGTCATCAATCTGGAAGCATTTTTTAAAGAAAAAATATTTTTGTCTGCTTGTCACTCCTGTTGTGTCCTGTGTCCATCAAATGCTAGATAACACTAGATTTTAACAGTTAACACTTGTCAAAGGTGTTCAAGTTCCCTTCCAAAACCCTTGCTTCCTATATGTCCCACTGCCTTCTTCTCCACTCTATGACATATTTGTTAGTCGCTGAATTCTCACTCTTGGTAGTAGGAGAATTCTTACTCTCATCGAGAGAGGATGACACTAGGAGTTGGGGCAATTTTCTTGTCTATTTCTCACACAAGCTCACACAAATGTCATACCAACCTGAGGGGTTGGGGTTACATATTTATAGGCTGCTAGCCAGCCAAGCATATGCCAAGATGTTGTCCTCTAAGATGCTGTCCTCTAGTCTAAGATGCTGTCCTAAAAACAGAAAAACAGCCACAAGGACCATGTGAGCAACAACAGCCCCACAAAGACCAGCCACACATGACTTATCCATCATTCTCCCCCTAAGTCTTGTGCGTCGTCTTGTGGGAGAGTTGAACCATCCCGGTCCTGGAGTAGAGCTCAAGGAACTTGATCCTCCCAAGGGGCTTGGTGAGCAGGTCCGCAAGCTGGTCCTTGGTGTTGATGTAGTTCGCCTTGATGCTCCTTTCCTCCAAACAGCCTCGGATGAAGTGGTACCTCACCCGGATGTGCTTGCTGCGTTCGTGGAACACGGGGTTCTTTGCCAGGGCCAGAGCGGACTTGCTGTCCACCCTGAGCTCCACCGCTCTAGTGTCTCTCCGCCGAGGAGATCACCAAGCCGATCGAGCGAGCCAGAGCGCTGAGTCGAAGCGGTGGAGGCCGCTATGTACTCGGCCTCGCATGGACAGGCTACCACCCGCCGCTTGACCGATTGCCGCCTAACGAGGCACTTGCCGAGGAAGAAGAGGATCCCGCCGTGCTCTTCTTTTGGTGTCGATGTCGCCGGGCGTGGTGTTGTCGCAGCACCCGACGAAGTGTGCCGCCCAGACACCTCGGGTAGTAGAGGCCGTGGTCGAGAGTCCCCATAACGTAGCGGATGATCCTCTTCACTGACTGGCTGGTGCTCCGTCGTCGGTCATTGCATGAACCGACTAACGAGCCGACGGAGAATGCCAAGTCCGGCCGTGTGTGGGCGAGGTAGCGAAGGCTCCCCACAAGGCGCCGCAGATGTAGAAGCGCCCACCTCCTCCCGTCAGGTTGTCGGCTCGGCCTTCACCTCTCCTCCATCGGAGTGAGAGCTGGGTTGCGATCGGTGAGCCCAGCTAGCTCAACGACGCGCTTGGCGTGAAAGCGGTCTGCGTGAAGCGTGATCCCGAGTCATCCCGGTGCACCTCGATTCCCTGTGTAGAAGAGAGAGGCCCTGTGTCACTCATCCGGAAGGTGACCTTCATCTCTTCCTTGAATGCCGCCACCTCCGCATCCTTGGTGCCGGTGATCACCAAGTCGTCGACGAGACACCCACCGCCAGGCATTTCCTCCATTGCCCGTCGGTAGATGGTCGCCTCGTCGCGCGGGCTTTGCTCAAGCCCATCCCCTTTAGCATGGAATCCAACTTGGCATTCCACGCCTCGGTGCTCGCCGCAAGCCATAGAGGGCCTTGCGCAGCGGAGCACCTGCCCTCCTTGCCGGGATCGCAAATCCCGGCTGGCCGGTGCACGAGATTCCTCCTCCTTCAAGTCGCCGTTAAGGAACGCCGACTTGACGTCCATGTGGTGAACACGCCGCCCTCTCCGGCAGCTAAGCGCAGGAGGAGTCGACGGACTCCATCCGTGCCCGGGGAGCAAAAACGTCGTCGAAGTCGACCCCCTCCTGCTGCACGAAACCTCGTGCCACCAAGCGAGCCTTGTGCTTGACGATGGCGCCGGCTTCATCCCTCTTCAACTTGTACACCAACTTAAGGGTGATCGCGCGGTGACCACGAGGAAGGTCAACAAGCTCCAGTGCGGTTCTTCTCAACCGCATCCATCTCCAATCGCATCGCGGCGCGCGCCATGCCGTGTCTCTCGGCCTCTACAACGAACGAGGCTCGCCATCGTCACACGCAAGGTGCAAGCTGCGCCTCCAGTCGTGAGGCACCGGTCCCCGCACCGGTGGTCGCCGAGAAGGTTCACGTCTGACGGTATCCAGAACGGCTCACCGTCGTGGTACGCGTCGACGCGCTCCTCGTCGTGAGAGAGCGGAGTAGCGAGCTCAACCGGGCCGTGCTCGACATGAGCTGGTGGTGGAGTAGACGTGCCGGAGTGGTGCACTGCCGGTCTTTGGAGTCGCGTGGCGTTTGCGGCCGTGGTGGAGCGGCGAAGAGCTCATCGCAGCCGAGGTCCGGGCCGAGAGAGCGTGGTCTTTGTCGAATAGCAGTCTTTGGGGTCGGTGGAGGCTCGGAGATGGGGTAGACGCGCCGCCAAGAAGAATCGCCTACTCCCCCAGCTCCCTCGAAGTGGACGTATTTCGATAGTGAAGTCGCCAGACGCCGGAGCCGAGCCATCGCCCATCGCCTTGTCCACGCCCATCTCGCTTTTCGTCGAACACAACGTCGCGGCGCCAGGCGCACACGCCGTGTCTTCGGTCGAGGATGCGGTAGGCCTTCGAGCCCCTCCGCGTAGCCGGATGAACACTCCCGAGTGCTCCCGCTGCCGAGCTGGCTTTGATGTGGCCAAGCTCCTTGGTGAATGCGAGGGTACCAAGACCCGCAAGTGGGGAGACCGCCGGCTTGCGCCCATGCCAAGCCTCAGACGGCGCCCGCCGCCGAGCGCCTTTGGTTGAGGATGTAGACGGCCGTCACCACCGCCTCTCCCGAAGATAGCGGCATCCCCCTTGCTTGAGGAGGGCCGAGCCATCCCCACAACCGTCGGGTTGCGCCGCCGACGACGCCGTTCATTGCTTGGGTCAGATGGCGAGTAGTGGCGCCGAATGCCCTCGTCGGTGTGAAGACGACGCGAATTCAACCGCCGTGAATTCGCCGCCGTTATCGGTGCGCAAAGACGCGCAGACTTTCTTGGCGCGCTCCGCGCTCCGCAGCAGCTTTGCGCGCGTGCTCGATGGCGTCCGCACCTCTCTCTGCCGCCGAGGACCATCACCCACATGTAGCGGGAGAGGTCGTCGACGCAGCAAAGAGGAAGTAGCGTCGTCCTCCCGATGTGGCGGTGTCACCGGGTCACACAAGTCCCCGTGCACAAGCTCGAGCCTCTCCTTGGCTCGAAAGCTCGCCACCGGGGGAAAGGGGAGTCGCCTCGTCCGTCAACACGCAGACGCCGCAGAAAGCTGCTCCACATGGTCGAGGCACGGCAGCCTCGCACCATCTCTCCGTGGCACCGAGCCGCTTCAGGCCTCAAAGTGAAGGTGCCCGAACGCTCGTGTTATCGCTGCACGCTCGTCGTCCCGACGAGCGGGCGAGACAGAGGGTTGTGCCACCGCACGTTAAGAACGTGAGAGTCGACGGCGCTTCGATACCTTGGCAAGAAGGCGGCGACGACGATCCCAAATCCTCATGACTCCGTCCTCAACCACCACGCTGCGAACCGTTCTCATCCGGTGTCCCAAGGCGATGATGGAGTTCCTCAACGCGGGGATGTAGTAGACTCCGGTGAGCGTACCTGTGCTCACCAGACACGGTGGTGAAGATGATGAGCCGCGCCTTGATCTCCCGCGAGGCATCACCTCGGAGCCTCGAACGCCTCAGCTCGGTGAAGAACTCGCGTCGGCGGTCATGTGATTTGTCGAGGCACCACCCGCTTGTCGTTTTTGTGCTTTTGGCTCGTCGAGGTGGCTGCTCACGGATTGCGGCAGGCCACGCTATGGCATGTCAGCTTCGTCTTTGGCATGTGCGCGGAAGAAAGCTCCTCCTCCTCCGCCGGCCACCTGGCCGGATCGCGACGGCAAGCCCATCGCTCCCGAGTGAGAAGGAGTCTTCGCCCGCCCGGTGGTGATGGGCCCCGCGAAGGCATCACCTGGTCCTCATCATCGGCGACGACTTTTGCGCGGCTTGAGGCGACCTAAGGCTCCTCTTCTCTCGGTCACATCGGCAAGAGATCCCAGTGAGACGACTTCCGCCGATCGTGATGGGCCCGAGAGGGCTTGGCTCATCATCTCGACGGCCTTGAGGCGAAGATCTTTTCGACGACATCGTGGAGAGATCGCCGAGGTGTCATCGAGCCATCGCTTGCACCATCGGGGCCGCGCAGAAGAGCTTGAGTGTCTCTCCTCGCCGAGGTGAGCCGCAAAGTCATCATCTCCTCACAGTGTTGAGACGGGAGCAAAGTCATCAACGTCCTCACGGCTTGAAGGCGTGTTCTCCCACTCCTCATGCGGTGCTCATGGCGTGGACTTGCGCGGCGCGGTCGTGCGCTGCGCGTCGCGCAGCGATGGCGTCCCAAGCCTCCTTGGCAGTCCGCTTGTCGGTAAGCGAGAAGCGCATCTCGGGGGGGGCTGCGGCGATGAGAGCATCCAAATACCGTCGATCGATCTAGGTCGTAGTCGACATCGCCATACCGGACCGCCTCCCACATGTGCCGCGACTGGAGCTTTACCCTCATCACCGCAGCCCACTCGACGTAGTTGGTCTTGGTGAGGGTAGGCCACCCACCGCCGGACCGACGCCCCGACAACAACTGGAGCCCGTGGTAACCACGGTACCGATCCGGGGAGAGAGCCACGCCGCGCTGTGAAGGCCGCGCTCTCCATCGAGCCGTCGGTACCGATCCGGGAGAGAGAGCCCGCCGCTCTGTGAAGGCCGCGCTCTCCATCGACCCGCCCGCCACCGCTGCCGTGCGCGCGCTTCTCCAGAGCGCCACCCGCGCGTCGCGCTGCTGTCTGGCTGCCGCCGCCGGCGCGGCGTGGGCGTCGCTGGCTGCCCAGCGCAGGCGCCGCCGCCATGTGGCGCCCATCGCGCCGCGCGCTTGGCCGCCTCCCCTCTCTAGCAGCTCGAGGTCTGCGTCGGCGGTGTCGTCAGCGGAAATGGAGCTGCCGATGCTGCCGCGCAGAGCCTCGACCTCCGCCGCCGCCGCACGCGCTGCATTCGCCGCCGCCGCCGCTTCCGCCTCCGCTCTGGCTGCTTTGCCGGCCCGCCACGCCAACCTCGACGCTTTGTTGCCGCCGCAGCAGTGTCTCTGCCGCCGCTCGCTCGCGTTCCTCTGCTGCGGCAAGTTCGGCCTCCTGCCGACGCCGCGTGCTCGAGGCGACCGAGCGCTGAGACTGCCCTGCGGACATGACGCGCTACCGGGGGGCTGCTGCGTGGGGAGAGGGCTGCTTCAGACGAGCTGGGAGAGGAGTGAACAGGAGCGGCCGGAGCTGCTGCTACTCTCAGCTGGGGCTGTTGCGAGGCTGGGCAAGGGGATGAGCAGGAGATGCTCAGGCTACAGGATACTACGGCTCCGATACCACTTGTTAGTCGCTGAATTCTCACTCTTGGTAGTAGGAGAATTCTTACTCTCATCGAGAGAGGATGACACTAGGAGTTGGGGCAATTTTCTTGTCTATTTCTCACACAAGCTCACACAAATGCCATACCAACCTGAGGGGTTGGGGTTACATATTTATAGGCTGCTAGCCAGCCAAGCATATGCCAAGATGCTAGTCTAAGATGCTAGTCTAAGATGCTAATATGCTGTCCTAGCTAAGATGCTGTCCTCTAGTCTAAGATGCTGTCCTCTAAGATGCTGTCCTCTAGTCTAAGATGCTGTCCTAAAAACAGAAAAACAGCCACAAGGACCATGTGAGCAACAACAGCCCCACAAAGACCAGCCACACATGACTTATCCATCAATATTGACATAATATTTCACTCTGATGTAGCTCTTCCTCAACTCCTTATGTCAGCTGTCCCACTCTGTTTCACTTCCAGAATTATTCTTGCTGTCCTAGATGGTTAGAGGCCTTCCTATTCTTTGATTCAGAACCAAGAGCCTAGTGTCTTCCTATTTCCATAGTAAAGCGAACAGGCCCAAGGACCACAGATAGTGCCTATCTCCACCAATTCTTTGCTTCTATGCAGTTTGCCCTGAAGTAATGTCTCTGCTAATAAGTAAGGCTGTTTTGAACCATCAAATCCAGTATTTTTTCTCAAAAAACGCTGAAGAGCCCATCAAATCCAGTATGATCCATACATATGTGGACCTGTCCATCTCTTTCAAACAGTATGATGGTGCTGTGCTTGTCCCTGTCGCTTGGTAATGTCTTGTTGGACCATGTGCACTTGGTAGAAGTTCATACAGGACAAACGCTGGATCTTGTCCACCAATTGTGATAAAATTTTTGCATCTACCCTTTTATTAATTTTCTTGTGCCGGAAAGCAACAGTTCTTATATTGATGTCTACTTCACATATTCTCCATGACCAAATGGACAGCAGTGGAAGTATTCAATATGGAACTTACTGCTGCAAAAGTTATCCTGCAATTTGAAGGACGAGAGGTAACAGTGAACTTGCTGGAAACTTAATGCCGACTTCCACCTTGTCTAGTTGCATCTCTCCTGTATGTACTTATCTTGCATCTGCTTCCCCCCTAGTAGCTCGTTGGAACATACCCCCATAGTAGCTCGTTGGAACATATGGGCCTGCCTTTTCCTTGAAATCGAGGGAGATTCGAAGTTTTGTTCTTAGCCTTCCTTGTAGCAAAGCAGATGATGAGAGACCAAAGAAGAAAACAGTCAGAGGTAATTTTCAGAAATGGGCAGCTTCAGTATATGTTTGTATGAATTATGATGGATTATTTTTTCCATTTTACTATTCTTGATAACGTCGAGTTATCTGACGTGGTATAAATTATAGCCATTTTGGCCTTCAATGGTGCTGAAAAAATGGCTAAACATCAGGCCGAAGTTAAATGATTTCAGCGAAGACGAGTTTGATACAGGCGGTGAAGACAATGGTATGGGAAATTGCATGAGTATTCTCTAGAAATTTCTTTGCTTGTATTCTCAATACTTCCATTTGGAATTAGAATTTTACACCTTTTCTCAGATGGTAGTAACTCTGGAGATGATAATGGAAATATCAAATACATGATTAGCAAATCCTCAGGTAATATTGTTTCCATAAAGGCCTACAATGATGTCTATATCTTGACTGTGTTTTAAGCAGTGTTTTCCTAAACGCTAAACAATGGGTCACCAACCGTATAGTCACTATTTTGGCTAAACGTCCATTTAAATGGGCAAAACAGTCGTTTAAAAAGGATAAATAGCCTATTAAATGGAAATGGTGTACTACCGTGTAGTGTTTAAACAGGCTCAATGACTGTTTAGGTGAACAATGCTTTCAAGTTTGACATAATAGCACCACTCTGGCATATATTGTAAGTTTATAGTTGCATTCATTATAACTAGTTAACTAGTAGTGCTAGTGGAGCTTCAGTTTTCCTCCTTGCTTGCTACAACATTGTGTGTGTGTGTGTGTGTGTGTATATATATATATATATTACTGTTCCTAGTGGTGGCATAACAATGATTCTCTTGCAGCTTTAGATTTGCAAAATAATATCCTAACTTTAACCTGCAAAGCTCAGATTTACGTTGATATAGTGATATTCTATAAATAGAGTTTAGAAACGAGAAATAAATTGATAATGGTTTATGTACTTTCATAATATCTGATTTAGAGGCCTGATCATCAGAACAATATGCCAGTGTTGATTAGTGTAATAATATTATCTTTAAAGAATCAAAGGCACGCTTATGCCTGTTGGCCCCTAGATCACTGGCACAGGTGAGCCGACCGCTCGCCAGCGTTGCCGACCACAGACTATCGTTAGCGACCACACACTATGGCTAGAGGTAGAAGCAGGGAGGGAGAACAGAGCACACACACAGCAAAAGCACCAGCGTTGGCCGGAGCTCTGCAGATAAGATGGCAAAACTGAACTCGCTCTCTTTACTGAGTTGCAGTGGGAAACTATATATACAACTCTACCCATCTAATCCTAGTACACAGACATGTCGGTCGCCATGTTGTTACTCAAATGACTAGATGTGACAAATAGGGTTGACTTTGGCGCTTGCCCTCTTTGTGGCTACAAGTGTTCTGGGAGTCTTTCGGCCGCCCTGCAGCTGACTTCTGATTGCAACAACGAGGAGCCTTTTCGGCGTCTGTCCCTGCCGTGCGTTCATACAGGGGAGCACCAGATTATTTAACAATTCTTTCCCTAATCCTGCGGCTAACCCTAGAACCTCCACCATGCCGATCATCTTCTTCAACTCCGTGAACCGAAGACGGCTGAGAGGCTTGGTGAGGACGTCTGCCAGTTGTCGACCAGTTTCGACGAACTCGATGACGATTTGCCCTCCATCGACAGAGTCCCTAAGGAAGTGGAACTTGACTTCGATGTGCTTGCTCCGGTCGTGGGGAACCGGATTCTTCGCGAGGGCGATGACGGGCTGGTTGTCCACCATCAGTGCTGGTGGGTGAGCTTCCACACCGGTCAGCTCACCCAGCAGCCGGCGCAGCCATATAGCTTGGCACGCCGCTTTGGCCGCCGCCACGTACTCTGCCTCGCACGTGGACAGCGCCACCACCTTCTGTTTCAGCGACAGCCATGAGATTGGAGCCGATCCGAGGAAGACGAGCACGCTAGAGGTGCTCCGCCGTCCGTGGATGTCCCCCGCCATGTCTGCATCGCTGAACACAGTGAGTTGCAGTCCACTTCCGCCGGTCTTGGGGAAGATGATCCCATGATCCACCGTCCCCTTGACATAGCGCGGCAGCCGCTTCACTGCAGCCCAGTGATCCTCTCGGGGATCCTCCATGAAGCAGCTGACATAACCCACGGCGAACGCAATGTCCGGCCTCGTGTGGACTAGGTAGCGCAGACCGCCGGCGATGCTCCGGTAGAGTGTTGCATCTACCTTTGCCGCGGTACTGGCCTTCGTCAGCTTCAGCCGCTCCTCCATCGGAGTCACGCACGGCTTGCACTCAGCCATGTCGCTCCGCTCCAACAGCTTCGAGGCGTACGCGCTCTGACCAAGCGTGAGCGCCTCCTTCCCCTATTTCACCTTGATTCCGAGGTAGTAGGAGAGTGCGCCGAGATCGCTCATTCGAAAACGAGCCGCCATCTCGCGCTTAAAGCTGTCAATGTCCTCTGCACGCACGCCGATGACGATCAAATCGTCCACATACACGCTGACGACGAGCTCCTCCTTCCCCCGTCGCCGCGTGTAGAGCGCGTGCTCGGTTGGGCACCGTGTGAACCCAAGCTCGCCTAGCGTGGCGTCAAGCTTGCGTTCCACGCTCGCGGGGCCTGCCGCAGTCCATAGAGCACCTTACGCAGTCGGAGCACCCTGTGCTCCGCTCCCTTGACGGCGAATCCCGGAGGTTGCCTGACGAAGACCGTCTCCGCCAGCTCGCCGTTGAGGAAGGTCGATTTTACGTCTAGATGATGGACGCGCCAGTCCTTCGCTGCTGCCAAAGCCAGAAGCAGTCGGATAGACTCTATGTGCGCTACCGGCTCAAAGACTTCCTCGAAGTCGATGCCCTCGCGCTGGACAAAGCCTCGGGCGACGAGGGGCGCCTTGTGCTTGACAATGGCGCCGCGCTCGTCCCGCTTGACCTTGTACACCCACTTCAGGCCGATCGGACGGCATCCTGGAGGTGGATCGACGAGCTCCCAAGTCTCGTTTTCCTCGATCGCCTTCATCTCCTCCAGCATCGCCAGTCGCCAATTTGCATCGTGCTTGGCTAGCGCGAACGTGGGTGGTTCCTCTGCACTGACGAGAAGCAGCTCTGGGTCATTGAGCAGCCGACCCGCCAGACCTGAGAGCCCTGTGCCGCCGACGATGTCGTCCAGCCTGCGGAACCGCACCTCCTCACCGTCGTGGAAAGCATCCACGAACTCAGTAATGTCACTTGGAGGTGAGGCGAACTCGATCGACGTCGATGTAGTTCCCTGTTCCGCCAGAGTTGTCGGCACAGTACCTGGAGTGCTCGGCACTACTCCTGAACCGCTCGTCACCACTTCTGGAGTGGTCGGCACCACTGCAAGAGTGGTCGGCACCAGTCTTGAAGTACTCAGCACCACTGCAAGACCTCTCGGCTCCACTACGGGAGCGTTCGGCACCTGTCCTGGAGTGGTCTGCACCACTGCAGGACCGTTCGGCACCACTCCTGTAGTGCTCGGCACAGCCCCAGGAGTACTCGGCTCCGTTGCTGGAGTGGTCGGCACCTCCTCTTCAGCATCTCCACCACCGTGGATGACCAAATACTTGACGACGAAGGTGCTGGTGAAGCCGCCAGCTTCCCCCGTGCCCGGACTGTCTCAGTCCTAGGCCGCCTTCTCGTCAAACACGACGTCGCGCGAGACAACCACCTTGCCTCCGCGTGGGTCGTAGAGCCGGTACGCCTTGGTACCTTCCGCGTTGCCCAAGAGCACCATCGGTGTGCTCATGTCCTCCAGCTTGCCGAGGTGAGGCTTGGTGTTCCTCACATGGCCGACGCAGCCAAATGTCCTGAGGAAGAACACGCTCGGCTTACGCCCATACCAAGCTTCGAACGACGTCTTGCTCTTTAGGGTCTTGGTGGGCGCGCGGTTGAGGATGAACACCGCTGTGGTCACTGCCTCACCCTAGAACCTTGCCGGCATGCTCTTGGCCTTCATTATGAATTGAGCCATGCCGACCACCGTTTGGTTCCGCCGCTGCACCACGCCATTCTGCTGTGGCGAGTACGGCGCGGTGTGGTGTCGCACCACACCCTGATCCGCGCAGTACGCAGCGAACTCCACCGAAGTGAATTCGCCGTCCCGATCAGTCCTCAACTTGCTGATGAGCGTCTGCAGGTGGAGGGAGAAGTCCTCCACCGATTCACCATCCTTGAACTTGAGGTTGGCGTACTCCTGCTTCAGCAGCTGGGCCGTTGCCTTTTTTGCGCGGTCGAAACCGACGCGCATCGCTGTAATGGCCTCCCACGCCTCCTTAGCAAAGCTCTTCGCCCACAACGGTTCCCTATACTCCGCTGGCACAACAACGAGGATAGCTTCTAATACTGACATGTCGTCTTCTTCGTTGTCGGTGCCCTTGTCAACAGCATTCCTGAGCCGTTGGGCTCTGAGCTTGACCCTCATGGTCACTGACCACTCGCCATAGTTGGTGCGAGTCAGTGTCGGCCAACTGGTGCCGCTGACCTCCCGCACCATGCGCACAACGACCTCTTGTCGTGGCTGGGCAACCACAGCAGCGCTGCTTGTCGTCCATCTCCAAACCACTTGTTGGCCCCTGGATCACTGGCACAAGTGAGCCGACCACTCGCCAGCGTTGTCAACCACAGACTATCATTGGTGACCACACACTATGACTAGAGATAGAAGCAGAGGAGGGAGAACAGAGCACACACACAGCACAAGCACCAGTGTTGGCCGGAGCTCTACAGAAGAGATTGCAAAACTGAACTCGCTCTCTTTACTGAGTTACACAGGGAAACTATATATACAACTCTACCCATCTAATCCTTGTACACAGACATGCCGGTGGCATGCTGCTACAGTAACTAGATGTGACAGCAGGGCTGACTTTGGCGCCCGCCTGCTCCTGCTGTAGCTACAGTGCCACAGGTGAGCCTTTCGGCGCCTGCCCCTGCAGCAGCTACAGTGCAACAGCTGGGAGCCTTTCGGCTCTTGTCCCTGCCGTGCGTTCATACAGGGGAGCAGCAGATTATTTAACAATGCCCTCCTTGAGCACATAATGTTTCGCAACTTAAATTTTAATATGCCATCAGCAGTTCTAGCAAGACATCTGCCAATATACATTTTCATGGCCAAGCTATACTGCTGCAACAGCAATAAGAAAGTCTTATTGGTCCCAAGTGAGTTGAGAGATGAAATCAAACCCAACACAAGCTGATAACAAGGAAAAAAGAAACTCCTTGCTTGCAGCTCATGTTAGGTAACCTTATTGGTCCCAAGTGACTAACTTAGGTTTCATGAGCCAGTCTAGACACCATTTTTTAGTGATCAGATTTTAAGAAAGCCTCAGCTGGAAATATCCCAAACGGAACAGTCCAGAGAGTTAGTCACTTGTTGCTACTTTTCATCTACTTTTCATCTGATCTCTTATCTTGTTCAGTTGTACAGTCATAACAATATTTGAATATTTCCTATAGTTTATTTCGTGTTTTTTTTTCCGTTCATTGTAGGCCTATGCTTTAGCCTGTAGGGACAGAATGATACTAGGTAACATAATCCTGAAGGGTCAGGATACAATTGATAGTCATAATTTCAGTACAATGCAAATTCGTGTCATGTCTCATGCCTATTGGGGTTTTTCAAACCTTTTCTGGTCATGAAATTTGTTTGATATTGTTATGTGCTTGATTTCAAGTGTTCTCTCTTGCTAGGAGAGAAAACAGTTCCTCTGCGAAGGCTTCAGAGAAGGAAATCAGCGAGTTTACGTGTTAGCTACATCACTAACAAAGATGTGAGGTTTGGTTTTATGATTTCATCTGTATTATTTAACGTGTTATGTGTCAAGCATCCAGTGCACTTAGATAATAGAGGTTGACACCGTCCTCCAGGGTGATGATAGGAACATGGAATGTTGCTGGAAGAGTGCCTAGTGATGACCTTGATCTTGATCAGTGGCTTTGTACCCAAGAGCCAGCAGACTTGTATGTTTTAGGGTATGTACCTCCGCAAAAATATGAAAATGCATCATTCAATGTGGACTTGTTTTTGTATGCTTGACTGCTGATGCTTGATTGGCATATTGTGGTGGTCCTTTGGCCCATTGACCATGATACTAAACAAGGCTAATTACTGTTCAGGATATCCTATTTAAATTGCTTCACTTGTGTTTCAGTTTCCAGGAAGTTGTCCCATTAAGCGCTGGTAATGTCTTGGGAGCGGAGGACAGTAGACCAATACAGAAATGGGAAGCTCTTATCCGCCAAACACTTAACAGGTCTCAACACATCAAGACAATCTGCAAAAGCTACAGTGCTCCACTCTCACCATTACTAAGACCTGTTGCTTCAGGCGATGGGCACGAATATACAAAATCCAAACCTGAAGATAGAGTGACAGGAAGTTTAACTCAGCTTAGAGATTGGCCAACTAGTAAGAGTAAGCTTCATTGCAACTGGTTCGATGAGACCAGTTCATTGGAGTTGCCAGAATATCCACTCGACACTCCATCAAAGGTTTTGGTATCAGGTACAGGATTGAGGCGAGTCATGAGCTTGGGGTTATTTAGCGCCAACTTTGTGGAAAACCGTCGAGGTCTTGAGCTCCAGGATGTAGATTTGCATGCTGGGATGAGAAGGCAGTATCATAGCTCAGGAAATCTTAGCATGTTATGGTCTGAACAGCAGGAGAAGCTTGATGTTTTAAATTCGCTTGATCAGTTATCTGATTTGGCGTCAGAAGAAGACTCAACTTTTGATGATACTGTTGAGGACTGTGCTACTCTTGGGAAAAGAGAATCTTTCAAGCATCGTGCAAATTATGTGCGCATTGTTAGCAAACAAATGGTTGGAATATATGTTTCTGTATGGGTTTCCCGAAAATTGAGGCGACATGTTAACAACTTGGAGGTATCACCGGTTGGGGTTGGACTTTTGGGATACATGGGCAACAAGGTCATCCTTAATCCTACAGGATGATGTACATTTATATTGTCTGTTGATGTACAGAGTTGAATGAAGATGCTGATTTTAGCTCGTCAATCTTGTTTTTCCTTGTGCAGGGATCGATTTCCATCAGCATGACTCTTTTCCAAACTCGATTGTGCTTTGTCTGCTCTCATCTTGCATCTGGTCATAAATCAGGGGATCAACAAAAAAGGAACGCTGATGTTTATGAGATTTTACAAAGAACAAGGTTTTCTTCCTTGTTTGCTGCTGGTCGTCCACAAAAAGATTCCTTCTCATGAGTATGTAAAGACCACTTTTGTCCCCATGATGCTATTTTCCTTGAAAAATAGTTACTCCTGAGATGAGAAATATGCCTCACTCAGAAAAGCTATTGGGTTCATTAAATTGTATTGCACGTAAAACTGAAAAATATAGATTTGTTGTGGACACAAGTATATTTTTCAGCGACTTTCATGGCCCAGTGCCAGTGTTACCAATTTCATAGCTAACAAGTAATCTATATACACTTATTTTGGTGAAAGAACTAATGCATGCTATGGACTGTAATTTTACAAAGTAAGTAATCAGCTCAGGCCAAACACGCTGCCCCCCATACAACACGCCAATAATGAATTTGATTACATTTGTGCCCATACAACACCCTCATATGTAAATTTTTGCCACGAAGGAGATGCCATGATCCGTTTTTAAGTTTGCTTCTTTAATGGTAGATGTTAATTTTGTGGTTAATATAGTTTATTTCTCATGGTATCTTTTGAAAAAAAAAAGTTCATTGCATTTTGTTAGTTTAATGTTACATCTACCATGATTTTATCGGATGAAAGTTTTTATGTCGGATGTCAGAATTTCATTTTGGTGCAGTCAAATTTTCTGGTTCGGGGATCTTAACTACCGCGTTGACCTGCCGGATTCTGAAGTACGATATCTGGTGGCTATGAAGAAGTGGGATGATCTTTTGAAGTCAGATCAGGTTTGACGATTACTTTTTATTGCTCCACAATCCACAGTCTGACAATTACTGAAAATTAATTGACAGCTATTCACATATATTTCAGCTAACGAAGGAGCTAATAAGTGGGAATACTTTTGTTGGTTGGAAGGAAGGCTTGATTAACTTCCCACCAACTTACAAGTATGAAAGGAATTCAACCAGATATGTTGGTGAGCTTCATAATGAAGCAGAGAAAAAATGATCTCCAGCATGGTTAAGTCTCTTTCTGATTATACTAGTATTTTTGGTTAAGATTAGAAATATATCAAGTATGCATATATCCACAATTCCACATATACCAAGTTAAAGCATGCAAACCATGACCATGTTTCCGAACTTGAGATTTCTTCTAGCATTCTTAAGAGTCTATTTTGCCATGTTTCTGAACTTGATATTTCTTGTCAGAATTCCAGCTACTATCTATTCCAGTAATTCAATGTCCTTTCGAAGATGCTCAGCTGTTCAGTGTATTGCCAATGAATCAGGTGCGATCGTGTAATATGGTTGGGGAAGGGTACCAAACAACTATCATATGGGAGCTCTGGTTTGAACCTCTCAGATCACCGGCCAGTCAGCGCCGTCTTCTTGGTCGAAGTTGAAGTGTTCAATCAACAAAAACTCGAAAGGGTCTTGAACTTCAATCCTGGATTCGTTTCAAATGGGAATATTACATGATGGCAGATCCTCCAACTTTTTTTTTCAGCCAGTGGCATTGAGCTGGGCATAGAAACTTTGCAGTGGTTCTTCTGTAGGATTTAGTCCTGCCATTGTGTGAATTGTGCATTGAGCTGGGCATAGAAACTTTGCAGTGGTTCTTCTGTAGGATTTAGTCCTGCCATTGTGTGAATTGTGGTAGTTTTTTTAGGAATACACCAATAGTTGGGGTAAGGATTTTTATATATGTTGGGAGCACGGCCGCACGGGTATCATGTAACTGAAATACGGCTCGTTGGACAGCACGTGCAAGTATTCCTAATTGTGAAATGAATTGAAGTGAAAATTCCATGTCATACATATATGCGCTCCTCTATCTCAGCCATATTAGCTCGAACTATCAGTAGAATATTCACTTTTCAGCCTCATCTGATTTGACGTATAATTTTGAGTCAGTCACTCGGTCAGTAAAAAATGCACATATGCTAGTCAAACATATGCAGTCGAAGTAATCTTCGACTTCCATCCTTTTCTGCGTCCTATGTATATCTGATTTCACACATAGTTCTGAGTTGCTCAGAGAATGAACATGTTCAAGTTTGTAGTAGTCTTGATGAAGCTCTCACCTAACGAAATGACTAACCTGTAGTGCAAGAACCTCAGTACCAATTGTAAGTAGATATGTAGGACTTTGTGGCTCATAGCAGATACAAGAACTTGCATTAGGAATACCACTTTGTGGCTGCCAGTCTTAAGCTAACTTTGCTGTTTTGGTTTCACAAGTACAGATCTGCAAAGTGTGATGGTAATTTCCAATTGTAACCAGGCAACGCTGTTTCACTTAAAGGTAAGAAATATATTGGGCATTAACCCTTAGAGGAGCACTGCCTTCATCTCCACAGTGCTTTCCATGTACAAACAAAGGCAACACACAATACGCTTCTGTACAAATCTCTGCATACCATGGTCTATCACCCAGACTTGGCTTAAAATTGACCTGCCCGGATATCTCGATCAATGCGATCTGCATTAAGTGTTCCTGGCAGCTCCCTAAAATCTTCGTTGAATATGGAGTATGCACTGCGTGGAGGGTAGAACAAACAGAAAGTTTAAACTTTAAAGTCAGAAAAGAATAAGCTGTGACTTCCCAATATACAATTCATAAACTTTTTCATCATCTAATAATGCAACTAAATTTGTTACAAGATCTTTGCGTCTGAATGGCCATCTTCCTTTTTTATTTTTAATGCAAAGCACTGGCACTGGCCAAAGAAAAAGTTTATGGCCTAGGTCTTAGACTCTTAGCAGAGAAACATCTATTTGGCTTATCAGCATCACAAGCCCAGACAAACTAGAACTCAACAAAATCAACTTATGAGTTGCACTGATGAAAAAAAAAATACTAGCACCAATGAAAAAAGAGAACAGTTTATCTCCAGTTTCACAATACAGAAGCATCGATTTCGTTGATCATCATGATAAGCCCAGACATACCAGAAGTAAATCACAGCTATTCTAGCAAAAACAAGCGCATAGTCTGGTAGCTGACAGTGCGACTACTTTGTAGCCACTAACCAGCTGTTGATCAAAAGAGAAGGAACTTTTATGCTGCAGTACAAGCAGCTTTTTAGCTAATATTGCAGTTGAACTTTGCTTTTCACTTAGGAAGACATATTTCGCCCCCCAAGGAATGGAGCACATTTTAGCTGTACTACTTCTATCCAGCACTCCAACCAATAAGAAGACCAAAGTATGCAATGTATCATTACATATCATATCTCGATGCTAAACATCTGAGTTGTAAGCAAAAGCTATTGCATGGTACATAAGAACGCAATGTTGGTCGAAACATAATAAAAGGCTTTCACTGTCAACAACTGAGCAAGAACACAAACTGAAGTTATAAGATGGCATACCTAACATCACCTTGTTGTCGTCTTCCAAGATTAAGAAGTATGATCAAGAAACCGGTACCAAGTATCTGAGTATACAGAAAACGTAGCATTTGCCAATGAGTTGAAGCGTAGAAACGAACTCCATAAGTTTGATCATTCCAAACCCGAAATTTTACAACACATAATAGTAGCATCAAGGTTCAGCACAATATCAGTATAACCTTGGCTGGGGCTAGAAATTGATCTGTTCAATTCTTCAATAACTATCTAGATGTGTTTCGAATACTTAGATGTACTTCATTGTCAGGATGAGCATAATGTAATATCACTGATAATAATTGGTTGAGTTTCTGGTATTGAAAATAAGTTACTTACATATAAAGGTCCAACGTCGTACTTCTGAGCAATCGGTGCCAATAGGAACCACATTGCAATGATAATCCATGCTTTCATACTGAGAGAAAACAGGGCCATCAAAATGATATCTGAAGAAGTAGAATGCATGTTACATTGAGCACACTGTCATTTTATTTTACAAGAAAATAGATGAGCACCGTGCATGCACATTACCAGGTAATCTCAACTTGTCTCGAAGAAACATAAAAATTTTCCTCTTCCACAAGGTTGTCGTTTGTGGTATTTGGAACTTCTACAGAAATGAAAAGAGAGAGGTAGACTTTTACGAACAACATAAAGATATCTAACATTACAGATCTTTTGGAAGTACTGCAAGAAAATAGTACCAGTTCTTCCTCTTCTTCCTCCTCATCGTCATTGTCAAGGAGATGATTAGCAGGAGGCTTAGGTGCCACGGCCACTATTAGAGTATCTGCAGAAATCGCGAAACATATATAAAAAAAACTCTCATATGAGCAAACCTGTGTGTAAATGGATCATGACAAACTCAATTGGACAGCCCCATACTAGAGGACAGCACGGATTTTATATAAGAAAATACAAAACTACTAAGAATGAAATGATACGCGATGTTAGCAACATATCTCGCAAATCGCCAACGAAGACATAGAGGGATTCAGGATTAGGGCACCCACCCCCATCGCGGAGATTGACACGGGTATCGTCTTGGTGCGGGAGCGTCTTCCCCCGCAGGACCAGCCGGAGTCGAACCTCTTCTGTGCCTGCCAGACGGCGTTCGCGCGCAATGCGGCCGCGAAGCTCGGCGACCTATAAGGAGACAAACATCAGGGAGGGACTCAGCCTAGACGAAGGTTAAAGGTGGGGTTGGTTTTACCGACCGAGAGAAGCGGAGGGAGGCGGAGGGTGGTTGGGCGGGACGGGCCGACGGCGCGCAGCGTCACCTCCACAGTCTCCAGCTGATCGCCGGCGGCGGCCATAGTGGGCTCTGTCTCGTCAGGAACTCGAGCACCCGCTGAGGTTCGTGATCAATTCTTACTATGCGGCTCAGGGACTTGGGGGCTGTCGGAGGGCTGGCCTCGACCTACACTTTCTTTCTTTCTTTTTTGACAACCCGCCACGGTTATTTAGGCCCAATCCATTAACAGGTTTGGAATTATCATTGTTTTATTATATCTATTTACAAAAAAACCTAAAAAACAGTAAAGTTATATTACTTTTGCAGACATTTCGAACGACTACATTTAATACCACCGATCTGTATTTAAAACCGTTGATCGAAGTAGTGGAAGAACACGTTGCCTTCACATGACATGCAATGAGATGTGGATTTGCGATTTGCCTACTGGAGTACCTATTGCCAGTTGAAACAGCTATACCTAAAAACTGTTGTTTAAATATATTTGGCTAATAAGCACATCACGTACTCCCTCTATCCAGAAAAGAATGCAATTATGGGATCTGTGACGTCCAGAAAAGAATATTGCTAAAGAATAAAGGATATTGCTAAACATTAACAGATCACCTAAATCCCGTCTCGTATATCCCGGAGAGAAGACCAAAATGTGGACAAATATTTAGGGCATATTTGTTTGAGTTGCAGCTTTTGAATTTTGGCTCAAAAGCTGACTTTCTGGTTTTGGCCTTTTGCTATTAGTTTTTTAATAAATTTTTAGCTTTTTAGCACACCAAAAAGCTCCTCTCAACGTGCTTTTTAGCTTTTAGTTAATTTCCTCAAAAATCAGCTTTTCAAAATCTATCTCAACAGTCAGGTTGTTTATTTTAGCTTTCGGGCAGTAGAGGCTACCAAAAAGCTAAAACAAATAGGCCCTTAGTTTTCTCATCAACTACAAGATAGACATGAATTGGTTTGCATCCATAACAATAAACATATGTAAGACATAAGCATTTACAATGCTGGCAAAGAAGACCTTCGAACATACTTTCATATGTAAGACATGAGTTTTTTGGTTTGTTCGGGGAGGCCTTGTCAGCTCACTATCGTTCCTTGACAAGGTACTCATAGCAAAGGTTTGGTGGCAACAGGGGCGGATCCAAAGGGGGGGCTCCCCCAGTGAGCCTGATTTTTTCATTAGACCACGATTACTTAGCCTTAAATCACTATTAATCTCTAGTCCTAGCCCTAAATCTTCATTATTTAGCCCCCCTTTATTCCCATCCTGCATTCGCCACTGGGTGGCAAGGTCTTTTCTTGACATCTAGGGCTTCAGGCACCTCATGAAGTTGAGGTGATCAAACACTAGCTTCTATTGTCGGTCTTCCACCACTGTGGCATCAAGTGCCTTACTTGTGTCCTTATTCGTCCTGTTCGTTTGGGCTTGTTTGGCTTATAAGCCGTACTTTTTCAGCCAAGAATAGTATTTTTCTCTCACACCAAATTAGCCAACAGTACTTTCAGCCATGGCTTATCAGTCAAACAAGCCCAAACGAACAGGGTGATTATCCTATGCAAGAAGCATGGACATGACTTGCTGCTGTTCACGCTGGTGTCAGGTTCCTCGCCTATTCGAGCCCTCCTTCCCGTTATTCATTGTAAAGGGTCCTTGAGAATCTCAAAAAAAGAAATTGACTCCACCTCCTCGTTATAAAATGGAAGTACTTAGTGTCTTTCATGATGTTGTTAGGAAATACATAAACTAACTTCTCTACCCCCAAGTTCAATAGTTAATTCATTACTACATGCATACAACATTGATGTGCAACATGTTAGCTCTAGAATTTTCATGCCTAGGTAAACGGCGAATTGAAAAGTCATCAAAGCATAACATAATATCTAAGCACTTATCGTGATAAACATTTAGCAATCCATCCAACAATTGAAACACTTTTGAAACTTGCTACACCATCACCAAGGAATCGCCAAAAACTTCCACATGTCTAACCTCCATAAATTGCAAAAGTTCTAAGCCAAATAGCAACACCTCATATTTATCTTGGTTATTAGTGCAAAAATACTCCAAATAGCATGATGTCTAAAAACAACATAGTTGGGTGAAATAATCACAACCCCAAGGTCTTGACCACTTTTGCAAGCCTATTCATCAAAATATAACTAAAAAAAACCTGGCCCATTTCTCCTGGCTAGTAGAAGCAATCACAGTCTCTTGTTGGGGTGACGAATTCTTTGCATGTCGCCTGAACTCAAGGGTCTTCACAATGATTTTGAGGGTTTCTTTGCCATCAAATGATTTCTGAAGCATGTCTTATCTCCCTAAGATCATCTCTTTTTCTGTCCATCAGCTCTCTTGGGTCACCACTCACCACATTACCCTTTTGTTGTATTGGCCTATTCAGGCTAAACCAGCACCTTATCATTTTGTAAGTCAATGATGTTGATAGGGAGTGGAGTATAGTCAACCAACATCTCATATGGACTCACTCATTGCTCATTTAGAACCTATTAGACCTATCGACGGAAAACATTATAATCATTAGTCGCATAAGAATATTAAAAGAGTTATGACATTTGCAAAAAGGTTGTAGCTTCAATTCTTCAAGTGGTGATAAGGCATGCGATGTCTTGATATATCCATTCTTACGCAACTCATCAAAAATCATATCGCACTTGGATATATCAAAAGTAAATTTCATCTCTTCATGCCATTTTTTGTGAAATCTGCTTAAGAGAGGCATAAGTAAATGATTAACATTAAATAACTCAGTAGCATAAACACCATTAGATTCATTGTCCAAATTATCAGAATCACATTCAAGGCGGTGGTGTTTATGACCCTCTTTATCTCTTTAATTTGCCATTCCATGGCCAAAGCTCTTTCATGACCTTTATTATCAGTAAATAAATCATAGCTATAATCTCCCTTTAATATTGGAACACGTGCCATTAAAAGCTAGTTTAGAAGAACATTTTTGGCTATAAACAAGTTAAATTATTGGGTGTTAGTGTCTCTAAATCTCTTGATGTAATCATTTACAGACTCATCATGACTTTGACTTACTGATGTTAATTATTAGAGTTTAAGGTCATCATTTCCATGGAAAAGTTTTCATGGAACTTCTACTCTAATTGGACCCATGATTTGATCGAATTATGAGATAGTGATGAAAATAAGAAAGAAGCCATTCCAAACCGAGACATAGAAAACAAATAAACTTTCAAGGCATCCATAGTACCAGCAAAGTCCAAGCAAGATACTAACTTATATTCTCCAATCCCAAGTTCTTTTATTGTCCTCCCTATTGAATTTAAAAAGTCAGGGAGTTTAAAACCAATAGGGTATTAAATAAAATCAAAGTATAAAGGATATGACTTAGTTTAGGTTCTTCCCCTAACATTTGCTCTAAGATTATTTTTCTTAAATTAAATTGGCCAAATTGTTCTTATATTGTGTTAGAGATTCATAAAACTAAAGGGAAAAATCTAGCTTGTAGGTGCAGAGGGGATCTGCTTGTTTGTAGTAGGCAACGCAAAATTGACTTGGCTAGTTTCAAAGTCCAACCTATAGAACTGTGCAAAAACGGTCTGGCCTATTTCTGTTTCTTTTGACATTGTTGCAAGCAATAAAAAATATGACTTGGGATTGGACTGAGTGGATGGCTTGTACCTAGTGGAGGTGCTGTTGGACCGCAAGCCAAATAAATATATGGGGGCACAAAATTACCAAGCTCACTAACTTGGTCCAATGCAGCCAAATTGAGTAAGTTTGCAAATGGTGGCATGCTCATGATCGGCTTAGGATATCTTGGCTCAACAACTAGAGTATTAGTATTTGTGACATTTTTTAGAAACAAAATTTAATTGTTGAAGTAATTCAACGACATACTGTATAAAAGGACCTTTTACTTTACTGCCGATGAAGCTAGAACATCCGTCTCAGGTGTTGTAGATGCAACAGACACCTTCAGCTACAGGCTTTTTAAGAGTAGAGTCTCTATTTTTGGACTTAAGCAAATTAATTGATTCCGCATCGTGTGTAGCCATCATGTCTTTATCTTGACATAATATGTCAGTAGAGGATGGATCACTTATATTGGTCAATTGCCTTAGTTGTTGTTGCTGTAGAGGTCAAAGCGAAATCGATCACCTTGATTTTTTGCGTAACAGCTCACGTTGATCCACCATCAAACTTGTAATAGAGGCTTGTAGATCGGCTTCATGATGCACATTCTTCTCATCCTATAGGATCTTGTGAATCTTCACAGAAAGTTGCTCATACATGGGTTGACCACTTTCTTGGGTTCATGGGGTTGGTGTGATCATCCTTCCACACTACCCATTGTAGCCAGTGAATTCTTTAGCTTTTTCCCAATCATAATCATCAAAATGTGCGTTAACGTAAACCTGGTTCCATATATAGTAGAAGAGCTAGAATCCTTGGATCGCACAACAAAGATCACTTCATGACAAACCGAGAAAACCATCCTGATCAGTTTTAGGAGTTGTTGGTTTCAACAGATTTCTGGTAAAGACCTATGAATATCTCCCACTCTCCCTGGAAGGAGCTCATTAGGGAGATGCATCTAGGGTTGTTCTAAGGTCAGTAGGCCATCTAGAATGCATATAAACATCGTCAATAAGCAGTCCGGGAGAGGCCATCTTGGAGACCCACTTGCGCGTGGGGAAGGCACGAGGGCTATCCACGGAGTTATCCGACCGAGAGCTTTGTCCTTGCGAGAACTTCCTTGCAAGGGGTTCCAACAAGAACTAGGGAGAAGCGAGGAGCTTCTCGGTACCTCAATAAAAATATCGAAGTTATTGATGGGAATTTGCATATCTACCTGTCGGGGTTATGATCCCTGGGTGTCTCAAGGCATTGATTAGTTAGCAGGCTGAGCAACCCGCGATACACCAGCTAGCGAAGGCCCATACGATCAAGGCCCAGCTAAGCGAAGCGGAACAGGCCAAACGCTAAGGATGGGGTCAACCACGACCCTCCCTTCTGCCTTAGCCGCACGCCGCACAAGGGTTCACGACCTCTCCGCCGTCCCGACCCCTGGGAGG